TTCAATTGTTTCTTTTGTTTCGATTTCATTAATTTCAGCTCTGATTTTAATTATTTCTTGCCTTCTACTTCTTTTGCTGTTGTTTTGTTCTTCTTTTTCTAGGATTTTGAGATGAAGTATGAGATCATTTATTTGTTGGTTTTTTCTTTTTTTAAGGAATGAACTCCAAGCAATGAATTTCTCTCTTAGAACTGCTTTCAATGTGTCCCATAGATTCCGATATGTTGTGTCTGTGTTTTCATTTATCTCTAAGAATTTTTTAATTTCCTCCTTGATGTCTTCTATAACCCATTGATCATTCAGTAACCTATTGTTCATTCTCCAAGTGATGCATGATTTTTCCTTCCTTCTTTTATCGTTGATTTTCAGTTTCATTCCATTATGATCAGATAAGATGCATGGTGTTATCTCTATTCCTTTATATTGTCTAAGAGTTGCCCTGTGTCATAATATATGATCTATTTTTGAGAAGGATCCATGTGCTGCTGAGAAAAAAGTGTAACTGCTTGATGTTGGGTGGTATATTCTATATATGTCAATTAAGTCTAGGTTATTAATTGTGTTATTGAGTTCTATAGTTTCCTTATTCAACTTTTGTTTGGAAGATCTGTCCAGTGGCGAGAGAGGTGTGTTGAAGTCTCCCATGATTATTGTATGGTGGTCTATTAGAGTCTTGAACTTGAGAAGAGTTTGTTTGATGAACATAGCTGCACCATTGTTTGGGGCATATATATTTATGATTGTTATGTCTTGTTGGTGTATGGTTCCCTTGAGCAGTATGTAGTGTCCCTCTTTATCCCTTTTGATTAACTTTGGCTTGAAATCTATTTTATTTGATATGAGTATGGACACTCCTGCTTGTTTCCGAAGCCCATATGAGTGATATGATTTTTCCCAACCTTTCACCTTCAGCCTATGTATGTCTTTTCCTATCAAATGCGTCTCCTGTAGGCAGCATATTGTTGGGTCTTGTTTTGTGATCCATTCTACTAGCCTGTGTCTCTTAATTGGTGAGTTTAAGCCATTAACATTTAGGGTTATTATTGAGATATGGGTTGTTCTTCCAGCCATATTTGTTTATTTATGTTACTAAACATGGTTTGTTTTCCTCTTTTATTATTTTTCCCCCCTTTACTATCCTACCTCCCACTCTTGGTTTTCATTGTTATTTTCCATTTCCTCTTCCTGTAATGTTTTGCCGAGGATGTTTTGAAGAGATGGTTTTCTAGCTGCAAATTCTTTTAACTTTTGTTTATCATGGAAGGTTTTAATTTCGTCTTCCATCCTGAAGCTTAATTTCGCTGGATACACAATTCTTGGTTGGAACCCATTTTCTTTCAGTGTTTGAAATATGTTATTCCAGGATCTTCTAGCTTTCAGAGTCTGTGTTGAAAGATCAGCTGTTATCCTGATTGGTTTACCCCTAAATGTAATCTGCTTCTTTTCTCTTGTAGGTTTTAAAATTCTCTCCTTATTCTGTATGTTGGGCATCTTCATTATAATGTGTCTAGGTGTGGATCTCTTATGATTTTGCACATTTGGCATCCTGTAGGCTTCTAGGATTTGGGATTCTATCCCATTCTTCAAGTCTGGGAAGTTTTCTCGTATTATTTCATTGAATAGATTACTCATTCCTTTGGTGTGGACCTCTATACCTTCCTGTATCCCAATGACTCTTAAGTTTGGTCTCTTTATGTTATCCCATATTTCTTGGATGTTCTGCTCATGGTTTCTTAACAGTCTTGCTGAGCTGTCTATGTTCTTTTCAAGTTGAAATACTTTGTCTTCATTGTCTGATGTTCTATCTTCTAAGTGTTCTACTCTGCTGGTAGTATTCTCAATTGAGTTTTTAAGTTGGTTTATTGCTTCCTGCATTTCTAGGATTTCTGTTTGTTTGTTTTTTATAACCTCTATCTCCCTGTATAGTTGATCTTTTGCTTCCTGGATTTGTTTATGTAATTCATTGTCGAAGTGATCTTTCATTGTCTGATTTTGCTGTCTAATGTCTTCCTTGAGACTCCAGATCATCTGAAGCATGTATATCCTGAATTCTTTATCTGACATTCCATCTGCTGCAGCTATTACCCCTTCTGAAGTTGAGTTGACCTGCATTGCTTGTGGTCCTTTCTTTCCTTGTCTTTTCATACTGCTTGCGTTTCTTTCTGCTTGGTGAAACTGTTGTGTTTTTGAAATTTTCCCCCTATATATTTATATTGCTCTTGTATAGTTGAAAAGTCTCCCTTGCAGGGTCGGGCGGCGGCTGTGCTCCTCCTCCAATTGGGGTGATCTGTCTACCACGCATGCTCAGCTTTTTCTGGCATGAGTGCGGCCGGGTTCGATCCTCAGCACCACATACAAACAAACATATTGTGTCTGCCGAAAACTTGGATGAGCCTCCACATGGGGTGCAGTACAACTACCATCTCCAAAGTGTAGCCTCGCTCCCTCGAGGAATAGGATCAGATCACTCTGCCCTTCTCCTCCAGCTCCGGCCCACCCATTTTAATCATCTTGTATTGATCTTTATTCTCTCTTAATGGCCTCTCTACACTTTCTCTTGACTTACCTAGTGTCTGTTCCACATGGAACATTCTGCCACCACCTTATCCTCATTGGCCTGATTGAAATTGTCTTTATGTCTCAATTTAAATTTGACTCTCTTTTAGAAGTTACTTAGAAGTTTTGGGTTTTTTTTTTTTAATTTTCATATTGCCTGTGTTTAACTTTAACATAAACATACAAACCAATCTTAACACAGAGCATTTTCTCATTTCTCAATTAACTTCACTTTCATCCCTTTTCCCAGCTGCATTGAAACAGAATCAGCAACTAAAATTGTGTATCATAAAAAGTTTACAACATGATGTTTTGATATACAAATACATTGTGAAATTTTAACTACAATCAAGCCAATTAACATATCTAACACTGTATTTTGTTACTATTTTATGGTGAGGAAAATTAAGATCTATTCTTAACCACTATCAAAAACACAAAACATTATTATCATTGACTCAGAAATTCTTAACATCCTAGATAATGAAGAAGCCTTCAAAACAAAACAAAACAAAAAACCCACCTCTCCTTACTCCTCTCCCACTTAATCTACCATAACATTTCTTCACCAAAGAAAAGCCAACAAAACTCTGAGCTTTGTTCTCGTTTCAACAATGCATGTGACATGAACGTCACAACAAAGCTTAGAGCCATGTTTATTAGATTAATCCAGTTGGCTGATCTCTTTCAATATCTGTAATATAAATAAGACTCTGTATGTTTTTCATGTTTTCTCTTGAGAGCAAAACTATCTAGAGAAAATATTAATCACCTTGTTCTACAAAAATCCTATAAAAAAAATCTGGGATATAAACATGTCTTTTGTTCTCTTGCAGATTGGATTGTTCCAAAAAGTCTTTATATTATCTATATTATTGACCTATGTTTCTAATCTTGAAAGATTAATATGCAAATGTCATGAGTTTCATAGAAAATCCTCCGTGTCCTCCTCCGTTGCGACCTTTGTAATCTAGGATTGAAAGTCTACTGGAGAACACCAGACTCCACAGAGATTCCAAGCAGTGCAGGTAACCTCTGAGAAATGCACTGAATCACAAATAAGAGGAAGAGTAAGTCTATCAGACTGTCTCAGTCTCTTGCAGTCCTTACATGTCAGTCTATAGAACATTAAAAAAAAAAAAGCAAAACACAGTCTAACTTGGAGAGAGTCCTCAGTCTCCCTCTGCACTAAGAAAATTATGCAAACTAAAATAAACATGAAATCAAACCAAGGATCGAGAGAGAAGGACAGAAACCTACTGGGTAGAATTCCTGCTGAGTTAGTGTTAGTACTGTCAAGGAAATACCAGGAAGGGCAATCGTACGCTGACAAAGGTAAACAGATACAACAGGTAGCTGGCATGACCACCCTACAAGTTACAGATGTGTCATTACAAGTTAAACTGTCCAAGCTCCTCCCACGTTGGACCCTCAGACGTTTGGTAACGTGTCCCCCTTGTCTTTGCTCATGACATTTCCTGAAGAGGTTGCAAACCTGCAACTGAGGGGCCAACTTCAGGTAGCAGACATGCTTCATTGGGTTCTCACGGTGAGTTATGTTTTTTAAATCTATATTCCCATGTCAAGAAGCTGTAGGATCTGGAAACACTGGTTTCCACATTCCTGATGACAAACATTGGTGGGAGCTCAGCGGTTGTCCCTTTCAAGGGGTCATGTGTTTGTGCCAATTGTTTCCACTTTTCTAAGGTCTGCTTCTTTTCAAACTCCTTTCCTTTAGGTATAGGATCTTGCAGGCCCTTCTCTACAGAGACTATCCTCCTATCCATCTCTACTTGTTCAAATTCAGCCATCAGTCATGGTCTATCTGAAATGTCAACCTCTTTCCTTTCCCCAACAGTCAGAAGTGAGTCCTCCCTCTTTGCAATACTCATGACTTCTGTTACACTTCTGTAGCGTATTCAGTATCCAGTATCATCATCATCATCATTATCATCATCATCATCTGTATTGTACTTATCTTGGCCTCCTGACTATAATGGAAGCCTACATATTCATTTATCCACTCATTAAGCAAAAAAATGTAGAAAGTACTAGGTACTACACACTAGATTAAGTGCTGCAGATATAGTAATGAATAAGAGAAACAAGCACAGGCTCTGAATGAAGGACCTGTCGTGCTTCTTTTCACTTCCTCTGCAGGGCCTGGGGAAAATGTCATGTACTAAATAAGTGCTCAGCTGGAATTTGTTGAAATGAATTGAGATGCATTCGTTTACATTTACAAAGCGTCTTCTTCCTGGCAACTCCATTATCCTATTTATGTCATTCTATTAAATAAGTATTAGAGATATATTCATTCAAAAGGCACACTAAAATCAGAATGTATACTGAGCACTAAACATGTCTTCTCCCTTTCAGTTAACTCTAAATCACCAAGTTTTTATTTTGAAAAAGTACTCAGATATACCTCTAAATTTATTTACCTGGGTAACTGCTGAAAGAGAGGCGACTACTGCTGGTGTCGTTATCTTTGATGTTGAAGTCCCAGTGTTTATATATCCTGAGCATGGCTGCGTAAGTGTACCAGCTTGAGTGAGCAAAAAAGATGTTCTCAAATCCAGGAAGAACCTGTAGCCAGAATCATAGTGACACAAAGACAGATGGATAACTGACTTCAATAGTAAGTGTAGGAAGCATGGAGAAGATGTGTCAATTTAGGTGTTTACTGTTATCTTTATCATCAAAAAATATGGCCAAGGAGTTGAACATTAACTTTACTGTGCACAAAACAGATGTCTTAACATCCCAAATGAAAGGGAAGCAGAGGTAATAGCTTCAACTTCCAATTCCCTCCATCAAAGTTCCTTCCAGTTCTCAACTTTTGCCATATCAGGAAGAATACCAGGAACTCATGAACTGATACATCATCAACTGATATTCAGCCAGGGGTGATGAGATGTTGCCATTCTTGGGTGCCATACAGAAAACTCTGTGTGAACCAGGGAAAAGATAGGAGCTTCTATGTCTTACCTTGATAAGAGCAGAACAATGTCCCATGTCCCATCTCTTGAAAACCTTCATGTTGTTGCTTTTTGTGGGAGAAAAAGAGGGAATCAGATCCAGTAGATCTCCAACAGCATTTAGGAACTGAATCTGGAACATGGTCATGGGCTGGGAGAGAACACAGACTTAGCATCACTTTGTGACACATGTCATTTTCTAGTTTTCCTTTTGTTAAGGTGCCATTAAATTATTCTATTGTGAAGGGTCTCTTAAGTAACAAATGTCCTGGCTTTTTTAACTTAACAAAATAATTCTTATGGCTTTATAAATTAGAAGAGATGTGTTAGCATGTCTGATATCCACAGATATTTGGAATGTCTTCTTAGAAAATAAAACAGAGCTTTCTGTTTGCTTTTCTCTATAACAGGTTTTCTCAACCTTGGCATTAGTTATATTGTAAGGCAGGTAATTCTTTATTTTGGGGGGCTGTGCCCTGTAAGATGTTTAGTAGTACCCCTGACCTCTACCCTCTGGTTATTCGTAGCAGCCTTCTAGGTTTTTTATTTTTGGTTTTGGTTTTGGGGTAGCAGGGATTAAACTCAGGGGCATTCAACCACTGAGCCACTCCCTAGCCTTATTTTGTATTTTATTTAGAGACAGGGTTTCACTGAGTTGTTTAGCACCTTGCTTTGTTGAAGCTGGCTTTGAACCTCCAATTCTCCTGCCTCAGCTTCCTGAGCTGCTGCACCCAGCCAACCTTCAAGTTTCAACAACCAAAAATATCTCCTCCAGACATTGCCAAGGCAGAAATCACCCCAGCAAAAAAAAACTTTTACAGCAAAAATTTCAGTATAATGGTTCTGATTTTGATTGTGTGCTTAACATAGAATGAACTGATCAGAAGGCGCTAACCCTGAAGTAGCTGTCAGATTGCACTTGAGTGTGAACGTTTTAGAGTTCACAGCTCCAGCAAGGTGCAATCTACCAGCATATCTCTAGGCTGGGCATCTATAAACAAACTGGCTTAATAGAGGTGGGGAGACGAATGAATACAAATGACATTTTAACAAAAAAGTAAAACAAAAGCAAAACCCCCCAACCTGATAACTTATTTACATAAATATTCTCTTCGTTTTGCTTTTTTGAATAAGTAATACATTCATCATTCAAGAATTAAACAATCATAAGAAGGTCTTTATTGGATAGTCTCTTATTCTCCATTTGCTTTAATTTCATTCTATCTCATTTATCATTTCTACTAATTTCTTTTGTGTATCTGCGAAGTTTTTAAAATGTCATATAAATACATTTTTTAACACGAATGGTGTTCTATATGAATTACCCTTCACTTTTTTTTTTCTGTTCATATCTGGGGTCTTTTCATATTGGGTATAAAAATCCCACCCATTCTTTTAAGTAGCATTTCAATGTATGGGAGTATTATAATACTTTTAGCTACTGTTTTGTTGATGGACTTTCAGGTTTGTTCTAGCCTTTTACTATTATAAACAATACTATTATAATACTTGTGCTATTATAAACAATAATTAATTATGGATGAATTTGAGTCTATGAGTAGAAGAAATTCCTGGAAATGATTTTGATTTTAATTGATATTGCCAGATTGTTCTAGAGGAGTTGTTTCAATTTATACCCTTCCAGCTTCAATAACATTTTAAATATTTAGTTTGTTTCCAATCCAATAAGTGAAAACTCTATCCCATAGTAATTTGAATTTGTATTTTTTGTTTTTTTATTTTAAGTAAGGTTGAGCATATCTCTAAAAACCTTTGAGTTTGTTTTCTGTAAACTCTTCATATATTTCATTTTTTTCTACTGGGTTGTTCTTTGTTTTTTCCCCCACTTGATTTTTAGGAGCTCTTTAAATAATTAGCAATATTATCTTTCTGGTTTGTAATTTGCCACACACAATTTTAGTGTGTGGTAGGATCTCAGAGAGGTTTTAATATGCATTTCCCTGAAACTGAACATTTCTTAATATTTATGAGTCATTGCATTTCCTCTTCTATAAAATTCTGGGTTTTTTTTAACCAATTTTTCCATTGAGTATTTTCTATTTTTGTTCCATATGTATTTTGGATAAAAAATCTTGTTAGTTAAATGTATTGCAAATATCTTCTTTAGTTTATAGCTTATCTTTCACTTTCGATATAATGACTATTTAAAAAATTATTTTTACATGTATTTTTAGTTGTTGATGGACCTTTATTTTATTCATTTTTTTATATATGTTGCTGAGAATTGCTCAATTCTCACATGTGCTAATCATTCTCATGAGTGCTAGGCAAGTGCTCTACTACTGAGCCACAACCCAAGCCCCATATGATATCTTTTGATAAAAAGAATAATCTTTATTGATAAATTCAGCTGAGCTTATCAATCTTTTTCTTCATGGTAGTGCTCCTGTGTATTAAGACACCATTGTCTACCCTAAGTCATATTCTGAAGAATGATCAAAGGTTACTTTGAGGGAATAAGTTTTGTTTTTTTTTTTTTTTTTGAGGCAGTTATCTATATTTCAAGTTTAAAAGACTGCAAAGTCTTTACTTCATCAATTTTTTCAATGCTGAAAATTCTGGTGTCTGACATAATTACTTATTTTTTTTTTACTTTATCTATCCATTCATCCAAATCTATCAAATTTCCAAATACCAAGACTAATACTATTATTAAGGTGAGATTATCACATACAGTTTAAAAAGGTTTTTGTTCTTTTTTTTTTTTTTTTTTTTTGGTGGGCTTCTTTTTAGAACTGGGGGTTGAACCAGGGCTTTGCGAATGAGGCAGATGCTTTGCCACTGTGCTACATTCCAGCCCTTTATTGTTGTTATTGTTGGTGGTCTTTCTTGTCCCTAGGGTCTATCCCACTAAAGATGTACAGCGGCAACAATTTCAATGTCACTTGAAATAATAGTTCTCTATGTAGTTATGCCATCACTTGTTACATAGTTAGATACATTTGTTTCAATTTTTTAGGGACTGCTTTACCTCTCTGTGATTAAATGTGTTTTACAATTCAAGAACAACATTTATATGGCTCCTGAGTCAAAACTATAAAAAAGGTACATTCAGAGAAATGTTGCTTTCATTCCTCTTCCCTCCATTCTCTTTTATTCCCTCTTCAAAAGGTAATTAGTTATCGATGGGTATAGTAGCCCATACCTGTAATCCCAGCGGCTGGCAAGGCTAAGGCAGGAGGATCATGAGTTTAAAGCCAGTCTCAGCAACTTAATGAGATCCTGAGCAATTAGGGAGACCCTGTCTCAACTGTTTTCAAGCCATTCCTCATTATTTTGTGCATGTCTTCCTTGTTCACTTTTTAAATTGGTGCATTATAATTATACATAATAATAGAACTTTTTACATATTTGTACATGCATGCTATAAAATTATAACTTGATTAATATTGTTCCCCAGTACCTCCCATTTTCCTCCCTTCTACTTTCCCCCTTGACACCTTCCTCTATTCTTTTGGTCTCCCTTCTATTTTCATAAGATAAACACACCCCAACTCCTCTGCCCTCCCTTTTCCTCTCTAGCTTCCATATATGACAGAAAACATATGGCCCTTGATTTTCTGAGTATGGCTTATTTTGCTTAACATAATGCTCTCAAGTTACATCTGTTTTCCTGCAAATAACATGATTTCATAATTTCATTTTTCTTTATGGCTGAATAAAACTCCTAGTTCCGTAATTTGGCTATTATGAATTGTGCTGCTATAAACATTGGTGTAAATGTATTTCTCCAGTCAGAATGGCAGCCATCAAGCATACAAATAATATAATAATAATGTAGGGGGCAAAAAACATTTTTTACACTGTTGTTGGGATCATAAATTAGTACAACCACTGTGGAAATCAGTAAGGATGTTCCTGAAAAGACTAGAGATGGAATCACCATGTGACCCAGCTTACGCCATCACTCCTTGGTATTTATTCTAAAGAATTAAACTCATTTTCCTTTTTTATATGAAAGACAGCACACAATACACCCTGTTCTTCATCTTATATTTTTACACTTAATAACAAATCCAAAAGGTCATTCCCTAACAGCATTTGGAGGTCTACCTGATCTTTGTTTACAGCTACATTATTGACACAGCCAGCCTCTATGTATCTGACTGCTTTCAGTCTTTTGATATAATAAATTATCTGCCATGAATACACTTATATATTTGTCATATCGTATATTGCAGTGCAAAAGTGTATATCTCTGTGATAATACTGGAAGTGGGATTGCTGGGTAAAATCAAATGTAAGTATATGATTTGGATACAAAGTGACAAAAGTTCCCATTCACAGTGAACACACCAGTTTGCATTCCCACCAGTATTTTAGAAGAATGCTTTCTTTTCCCATAGCCTTGCCAACAGGGTGCACTTTCACACTTTGGAATTTTTGCCAAACTGATGAGAAAATATTTACCAGTATGGACTTAATTTACATTTCTCATGTTATGAGCAGGGCTGAGCTCATATGATTAACAATCATGTGCATCATTTTTCTGTGAACAGTCTTTTTGTATGTTTTGCCTAGGGTGTATATATATATATGTGCGTACACACACACACACACACACACCTACATATATATTACCTCCAGGAAACAAAATGCCCACAATAATTTTTGGAAGATATCCAATGGTACCTTGGAAGCCTCAATGATTCAGTAGTTTCCCCCAGAATTACTATGTGTATGTGTTTATATGTTTATATGGATGCCGTGGAGTGTGGAAAACAGAAATTTATCCCTAGATATTTGTCTTAATTAACCTATAGTTTAAAACACTAAACTCTTTATCAGGTTAGTTAAAAACCACTATGTTCACATCATGTTTTAAAATTTCTTCCTAACACAGTTGTATGAAAGAGTGGAAAACACAGAAACAAGTTGTTTATTTGTGTTTTGAACTTAAATTTTGTGTCAGACAGTGAGTTAGGTACTAGAATATGACAGATAAAATAATAGTGCTTATCCACAAGGAATTTATACTTGTGTCCTAATTTGATCTGCTTCTAAACTGTAATGTTATTTCACAATATTTTGACATATAAATTGAGCAGCTTCTTAAAAATAATACCTTTGTTCCTTCGGCCATAGCCCTCTTCATTGCTCCTACATATAGCCCATCCATTTGTGCCACGATATAGCCTGTATGTCTCCAAAATGAATCATTCTTGAATTCTTTGATGTTTTTCCGAGTCCAATGATTTTGCCTTCTGGAAGAGAAATCATATTTGTACTAGAAGTCTCAGTGGTTGCTCATCCAAAACTAAATCAAACCAGGCATTTAGAGATGACAGATGCTAATGCTAAAATAATTTAAGTTCTGGATCTTATAATATTCCAGTTACTCAAAAGATTTCAGAGCAAACCTTAAATGAATGTTAATTTCTCCCTCCTCTTTAATGGATTTTTCTGGCTCATCTAGAACCAAAACACATGTGCAATATTAATCTACCTGTGATACCAAGAAATGATACCAAACACAAATGCATTTCATATAAACCATAATATGTAAATAAGTCAATAAGAACAAGTTGATTACATCTGTGTGTAGAAATGGTACTTAGACCACAGGAAATAAAACTCATAAAGACAAGGTGATTTCTAGATTTTATGCTTCTCTCTCAGATCATTTTCACAGCTTATGATTCATCTCATTTCTTTTTTCCATATTTTAATTGGTGCATTATAGTTGTACATAATGGTGAGATTCACTATTACATATTTGTACATGCACACAATTGGCCAATATCATTTTCTAGCACTTTCCCTTTCCCTTCCTTCCCTCCCCCGGTGGTTCATCCCATTTCAGTTGTTATTAATGTGTGTCTCAATATCCCCTGCTGAACAGGATTAGCAAAAACCTCTTTTTTTTTACTTAGGTTATTAATTTCTCCTTTATTAAGGTAACTAACAAGTGTTAGGTCTTTATGTGTGATCGAAATAAAATACAGTGTTCAGCTCAACTCAGATTGACATATATGCATTTGGCTTTAGATACCCATGAAGCCCTCTTGGCAATACAGAGCCCACAAGATATGAAACATGGGTTAACACCCCCAAACGTCATCCAGAAAGCAAGGCACAGGGCTTAGGTCCACTCTTAGATTCTTCCCAAACAATTGAGAATCTGCAAAAAAAAAAAACCCTTACTTTTAAAATAATCCTTTTATTCTTTTTTCTTTCAGTTCTATCTGGGATGATCTGATATGACTTTGTATACAGAGAGCATTTTCTTTTCTTTTTTTTTTTTTTTTGTTCAGGCTATTGCTAGATAACTCTTAAAATAATACAATGTCATTGCCTAACAGGATCTAGCCTCATAGTTTTTAACTGATGCCCTGCAGGACTTGTAGCATTTCAAGAAGAGGTTGCTTAGTGTGTGATTTGGAAGGCTAAACCAAGACCCTTTCCATCCCCAAATGAATCTCTTGTCATTCCACAAATTTAATCTTATTTAAAATTTTAGTCTTCAGAAACTTTATTAAAATGAAAATATTCTTATAGGATGTTGAGAATGATGACTTTAGATATTAGCTGATACCCAGCCTGGGTTAGCCACCAGACCCAAGAAAAAGAAACAAGGAGGCAGCAGAAAGGCTCCCTGCAGGAAGCAGCAAGGCACCCATGCAGAAGGGATTCAGGGATTTAACTTTGCCTGCTGCACACTGATGGTGTCCTCTAGCAATGTTAGCAACTGACACTGTGACATTTAAGTTGACCTTTGAAACAGCAGAAATTGGAGGATATGTTTTCTGAAACCAGTTTTCATGCCATCATCAAAAAAATGCTATGCCCTAGAGTTGTTCTAGAACAATTCCAGAATCCTGCTACAGAGATGGAAAAGGAATAATCGCTCTTTGAAATGACAGTTTCAGGCCCTTTAGTCTTAACAACAATGAAAAGAGGAAAGCTTTTATACATACTCCATAAAATCCTTCACTTTATCCACGAGGGAAGGTTTCTTGATCAGCTGTGGGTAGAGATTTATGAAGTGGTCATTCATGTGTCTGAAACGACAGATGAGAACTGTTAGATTCCTAGATTTCTTCTTGAATTTCTTCATCATGGCAATTTACCCAATCTTTTGGTTAAATAGTGTGCCTCCAATTACAAATCTTCTCTACTATGTTTTTTAAAATAAACTAAACACACAATTTAAATTAAAAAATATTTCTAACACATGGAAGGCATAGAATATAGCAAACAACCAAGTATTCACCACTTAAATTTATTAGATCATTATATTTTGTCATATTTTCCATCTATATTTTAAGACATAAAACAAAATATTAGAAAGACTGAAGTCCCCGTATACACCTTCCTGACGTTAATTCTCTCCTTTCTCCCCAGTGGTAACTGCAACCTTAAATCTGATATTTTTCCCATGTATATTTTTATATAATCACTATACATATTTTAACCCTAAACAATGTTTAGGGTTAAATGAATGTTATCATGCTGAAGAACAAAATATGAACAAAAATTGATCTTGATTTGTTTCTCTTAACATAAATTTTAGAGAAATACCTAAGTTACCATCTGCCCATTAAATTCATTCTTTTCCACTGCTGATGATATTGCATAGTATGACTATGCACCAATTCATGTATGCATTCCTCTGACGGATATTTAACTAGTAACTAATTTTTCAATATTGTAATGCAATTTTAAGAATTGTTGTGTCCTTTTTTTTTTTACACATTTGCCTGTTCTTTTAGAATGTATGTGTGTATGTGTGTGTATAAAATTGGGAAATATTTCCAGGATATAGAAAAGCATAGACTTTATTGGTAAATTTATAAATACTCAAGGATCCACCACCTACATATATTAAATTGATACACACATGTACACACACACACACACAAAATCACTGCTGGGATGAATATCATATATATGACACATCATATAAACATTTGTCAATATCTATTAATTTTATATATGTATATTTTATGGTATGCATATATTATATGGACTTTTATACATAAAATTACTAGTTATTGCTAATTGTTCACCACACAGATTTACCAATTTATATTCTCAGACCTCTTCCTCTACCACCTCACCATCACTTTGTATTGTCAGACTTTGATTTTCAACAATTTGTTAGGTTTAAATAATTTCTCCATTTAATTTCCATTCCTCACAGAATTATTGGGTATTTGAGATTCTTTATGTTAAAACTTAAAAATTAGAAATGACATCAATGCTTATAGCAGCGTAATTCACAATAGCTAAACTGTGGAACCAACCTAGATGCTCTTCAATAGTTGAATGCATAAAGAAACTGTGGTATATATACACAATGGAATATTATTCAGCAATAAAAGAGAATAAAAGTATGGCATTTCTTGGTAAATGGATGGTACTGGAGAATATCATGCTAAGTGAAGTAAGCCAATCCCCCAAAAGGAAAGGCTGAATGTTTTCTCTGATAAGTGGATGCTGATCCATAATGGGGGTGGGACATGGGAGGAATGAAGGAACTTTGGATAGGGCAAAGGGGAGGGAGGAAAAGGGAGAGGGGGCATGAGGGTAGGAAAGATGATGGAATGAGATGTACATGATTACCCTAGGTACATGTATGAGGACATGAATGGTGTGACTCTACTTCGTGTACAACCAGAGACATGAAAAATTGTGCTCCATTTGTGTGCTATGAATCTAAATGCATTCTGCTGTCATGTGTTGACAGCCACAGCCAAAGGGACCCCAGCAAACTTCCAGCTGATTGGCTCACCATGGCCCCAGCAAACTTCCAGCTGCCAGCTGATTGGCTCCTCTGCAGTGATGCTCATTGGGCTGTTTCCCCACCCTTTGAGACCACGTAGCTGCTCACTGGGGGACTCTTTTGGCTTTGCCCACTTGACCCAGCCTCAAGAGCAGGAGGAGTGTGGGGGGGGGCGTGTTGAGAGGCTTGTGGGAAGATGGTGGTGGCAGTTGGGCTCTGAGGGAATTCCTGAAGAGCTGGTGTGGTGCAGTGTGTGTGTGTTCTAAAAATAAAGTTAGTTTCTGCTTGATAAGTGGCTCCTGAATTGTGCCCAGCCAGACTGCGGCAGTCATGTATAACTAATTAGAACAAATAAATAAATTAATTAAAAATTAAAAATAAAAATGTCTCAAATGCTTAGAGTAAATATTTTTAGTCAATGAAAATAATCTATTTATACGTACTATGATTTTAATATTATTGGATTTGGCTTTATAAGCTTTTGCTTTCTATTTCTTATCCCTTTCTTCATTTGCTCTTTTAGGCTTTCTTTATTTAGATAACACTGTCATCCATCTTCTATTCATATAATCATTTTAGAAGCCACTCATAACTACATATTTTCTTATAAAAATCTAAATGAATTTTATAATTCTCTTTTCATCCAAATGTGAAGTATATTTTAGTAAGTCTTAGCTGTGGACACTTTCCATCATATTTTTGTTCAGAGATTTAGTTTTACCTTTTGAATGTAAAACTATTTATATGTTTAAAATTATTTTTATTTTTTAATTTTCAAAATCAAGATTTTTGTTAATTTTTGTTTCTTATATTATAACTATTGTTTCTTACATTTCAAAATTTCCCTCCTATTATTCTAACTAAAGTATATCCTTTAATAATTTAATAGAAGAATGGGTGGTAATTTGTTTCAATTTATATGTATGAACATATCCTTATTTTGATCTTACCTGGATAGTTTAAATAGTTATAAAATGCTAGTTAGATATTTTTTTCTCAGTAAATATTTTATGACTCTATTATTTGTGATGAGAAGTATGCTATGTAGTTGAGATTCCTTTGTAGTTAATGTCTTTATGATAGCTTTTAAGATTATTCTCTTTACCCTCAATTTTATGTAGTTTCATTCATGGTGTTGTAGCAATTTAATAGATTGTGTCTTCCAACTAAGGAAGTGGCATTTGTTTTTTCTCAAATTTGATAAATTCTTAGCTATTACCCTATCAGTTACTTCTTATCTGAAATTCCCTTCAGTCAACTTTTTGGTACTCCTAAAAGTCCTATGTTGGAATTTCTTAATCCAATTGCTATGTCTAGTAACAGGCTTTTAGTATTTTACCCTTTTTATATCTCTGGGCTGTATATTATGTAAATTTCTCAATCTTTTTCTGTGTCTAGTCCACAGTTTGCCTATTAGTGAGATTTTAGAAAATGACTTTCTATAAGTTTTTATAATATTTTTTAAAGGAGCTTTCTTTCTTTAAGAGAGAGAGAGAGAGAGAGAGAGAGAGAGAGAGAGAGAGAGAATTTTAATATTTATTTTTCAGTTTTCAGTGGACACAACATCTTTGTTTGTATGTGGTGCTGAGGATCGAACCCAGGCCGCACGCATGCCAGGCAAGCACGCTGCTGCTTGAGCCACATCCCCAGCCCCAAGTTTTTATAATATTTATAATAAGTCATTCAAAAATATTTACCTGTATTCTTTTTCTTCCTTTTTGTACCATAAATTCTTCCTCAAGTTTTCTTTTGCTTATAACTTTAAAGCAATCTAAGCAAATATAAAGTTTTTGTTAAAGTGGTGCACACCTGTATTTCTAGCTACTTCAGAGGCTGAGGCAGGAGGATTGCAAGTTTAAGGCCAGTCTCAGCAACTTAGAGAGACCCTGTCTCAAATTTAAAAATAAGAAAAATGGGGGATGTAGTTCAGTGATAAAGCACCCCTAAGTTCAATCCCTAGCACCTCCAGATGAGATACATAACTGAAGTGTGATAACAATATAAATAGACAAGACGAGTTTGCATACACTGAGCAATGACAATACTGTCATAACTATCACCTTAAAAAGTATTCAATGTCTTGATGACAAGATTCACCCTGATTTTGTTTTGTGAAAAATGCTATCTTAAAAATCAATGACTGTCTATAAGGAAATTTAGAAGATCTGTTGAATTAATACCACATGGATAAGCAAACCCCAGACTGCAGCAAATTATAGGTTAAACAGTTTCTTCAACAAATAAATTATGAGAAAGAAGAGGGAAATAATAGATTAAAAGTGACTTAAACACAATAAAAAAGAAATATACCAATCAGACTCAACATATTGTGATATTCATGATACTACTGAAAAATCAAATACAGATTGAATATATAAATATTTGAGGATAATTACTAAATTTTAGATGTAATAATGGTACTTTTGTTCTATATTTTTAAAGAGTCTTACCCTTTAGGGATACACATTGAAATATTTACAGAAGAGATGACATGATATCTGAGAACTGCCTCAAAATAATGTAGAAGTAAAAGGGAGGTGTGGTAACCAGTCCTCTAGAAATGCCCCCAGTGACCCCTGCTTCAGGTATGCCATTCCTTCCCCTCTATGTAGACTGGACCTAGTCACTTTCCCTCTGTAATTTGCTTTTATAATTTCTTTCTAAATCTTTTTAGTTGTAGAAGGACACATTACCTTTATTTTACTTATTTATTTTTATGTTGTACTGAGGATTGAACCCAGTGTCTCACATGTGCTAGGCAAGCACTCTACCATTGAACTACAACCCCAGCCCCTTTTATCATTTTTCTAATAGGGTATTTAAAAATATTTGTCTTCTCAAAGGTGACATAAACATACATTGGAGAAAAGGTAGCCTCTTATTGGATTAGACAAAAGGGGAATAAAGGGAAGGGAGACGGGATGGGAAAAGGAAAGACAGTAGAATGAATCAGACATAGTGTACCTATCCTTACATATGAATACATGGCCAATGTAACTCCACAGCCTATATAACCACAACAATGGGATTCTTACTGGAACAAGTTCTACTTATTCTATGTATTTATAATATGTCAAAATATACTCGAGTGTCATATTTATCTAGAAAGAACAAACATACAAATAAATAAAATATCTGTCTTCTTATTTCTCCCTTTTAGTCCATAAATTCTCCCTCAAGTTTTTTTGTTTATAACTTAAAGCATCCTAAGCAAATTGAGTTTTTGTTAAAGCCAAATGTGGTGGCACACACCTATAATCCCTGTTACTCTGAAAG